ATCATATTTATTTGAAGTGTGTGGTTTCAGCCGTAATAATAATTGTGTTGAGTGCTGTGGTGTATGCCATCATGCAAAGCAAACACGAATTTCATTTCCTTTAAGTGACAATAAAGCTTTTCGTGCATTTGAATTAGTACATTGCGATCTATGGGGTCGGTATCACACTCCATCTCTCTCAGGAGCTCATTATTTCTTAACCATCGTGGATGATTTTACACGTACTACATGGGTGTATCTTTTGCATGATAAATCAAAAACTCAAAAGGTTTTCATGTCCTTTTGTGTTATGGTTAAGAGACAATTTGGGGTTGATATCAAGATGGTTCGTAGTGACAATAGAACATAATTTTTGGGGACTCTCAATGATTTTTTTCTCAGCCAGGGAATTATTCATCAAACTTCTTGTGTTGGAACTAGACCTGTTCATGGGCCGGGTGGCCCGACGGGCCGGCCCGGCCCGGCCCGGCCCGACTCCCAGACGGGCTTGAACAGGATTTTTGGCCCGCGGGCTTAACCTCGGGCCAAAAAGCCCGGCCCGCATAAAATTCGAGCCGGGCTTTGCTAAAATAGCCCGGCCCGAGCTCGGCCCGGCCCGACTTATAGTTAAACTTAAGTAAATCCGGCCCGACCTATAGTTAAACCTAAGTAAAAACCCTATGTAATGTCTATTTGAATAAATTTTTTGATTTAAGGTCATTGATTCACTTGTAGACCCATTGTTCATTTAAATAGGGGAAAAACATTTAAATTAAAATAGAAAATGTCAAAAAATTTTGAATTTCTTTTATTAGGTCGGGCTCGGGCTCGGGCTTCGGGCTTTTCATCAGGGCCGGGCTCGGGCCCAAGTTGTAGGCCCGTTGGTCGGGCCGGGCTCGGGCTCGGGCCTAATAGTTTTCTGTTAATAAAGAGTCAAAGCCCGGCCCGGCCCGACCCATGAACAGGTCTGGTTGGGACACCGCAACAAAACGGGAGAGTAGAAAGGAACACCAACACATCCTTAATGTGGCAAGAGCATTACGTTTTCAGGCTAATCTACCTTTGAAATTTTGGGGAGTGTATTATGGCAGCAGCTCATCTGATTAACTACACACCAAGCAGTGTACTAGGAGGCCGCACACTATTTGAAGGCTTGTTTGGAAAAACACCCAAATATTCTCACATTAAAGTATTTGGGTGCCTTGCGTATGCCAAAAGACAAAGTATTTGAAAAGATAAGTTTGGAGAGCGTGCCGAAAAGTGTATTTTCGTTGGATTTTTATATGGGAAGAAATGATGGAAAATGTACAGTTTAGAAAAGGGAGATGCCTTTGTATCCCGAGATGTATATTTTTATGAGGAAGTCTTCCCTTTCAGCAATAATGAGGCACTTGGAGAGGAACAACTTCCAAGTGAGGGGGAGCATGTGGTTGTGGAAGATAAAATCGAGCCATTTAGGAATGATAGGAGTCTTGTTGGAACTAGTGGCAATCAACATGTGGGCGCAAATGAAGAAAGTGTTCACACAACCGATGTGGAAATAAATTCGGAAGAGCAACAAGGAACAGGTACGTCCAACCAAGCTGTAGTGAGCACACCACAAAGAAATGAAAATGAACAATATGTTTTGCAACAAGAGCAACCTCAACGGGAAAGAAAACGCCCTAGGTATTTAAGAGACTATGTGTGTGACGCGTTGTTATCGCCATCCAACGTGAACCCAATTCGAAAAGCGCCCGCAGGTAAGGCCCATCCTTTAACACATTATATTTGCTATAGTAAGTTTAGTCCAACTCATAAAGCTTTCTTAGCGGCCATCGATTCTCATGATGAGCCAACCAGTTATGCACAGGCAGTTAAAGATGAACGATGGACTCAAGCAATGAACAAAGAGATTAAGGCCTTGGAAGAAAATAAAACTGGAAAATTATGAGTTTGCCCCCGGGAAAGAAAGTAGTCGGATGCAAATGGGTCTACATAATTAAGTACAATTCGGATGGGAGTATTGAACGTTTCAAGGCCAGATTGGTTGTGCAAGGCTTACTCAAAAATGGGGAGAAGATTATATAGAGACTTTCACTCCAGTGATGAAGCATGTATCTGTTCGTGTCTTTCTAGCAGTGGCAGTGGCAAAAGGATGGGAACTTCATTCAATGGATGTGAATAATGCCTTTCTTCATGGTGACCTCAAGGAAGAAATTTACATGAAGCTCCCATTGGGTTTCAATTCCGAAAAACCAAATGCAGTATGCAAGTTGCAAAAGTCTCTGTACGGCCTAAAACAAGCCTCTAGAAACTAGTTCGCAAAATTGGCAACATCCTTGCGTGAGTATGGTTTCAAGCAATGCACTGCGGAGAGTACTCTTTTCATATACAGAAAAGGAGTACGTTGATGATATTATACTAGCTGGGAACAATTCAGAAACGTGTGCAAAATTCAAGGCGTATCTCAATAGTTGTTTCAAGATAAAGGACTTGGGAAATTTGAAATATTTCCTTGGAATAGAGGTGGCTAGGTCTACTACCGATCTGTTTTTGAATCAACGCAAGTTTGTCCTGGACATTTTGAAAGAAACTGGACTGACTGGATGCAAATCCGTAGACACCCCAATTGAGCAAAATCATCGTTTGGGACACGCCAATGGTAGTTTTCACTCTGATCTAAATCAGTACCGAAGGTTAGTATGACGACTGTTATACTTAACAATCACGAGACCTGACATCACATATGTTGTGCATGTGCTTAGTCAATTCGTCTAGCAACCCCAAATTGAGCATTGGAACGGGCTTGTACGTGTTTTGAGATATCTTAAAGGATGTCCAGGGCAAGGTATACTACTAAGTGGTGAGAATGATATGGTGTTGCGAGGATACTGTGATGCAGATTGGGGAAGTTGTCCTTTAACTAGAAAATCAGTAACCGGTTTGTACTTCCAGCTTGGTTTCTCCCCTATACTTTGGAGGAGTAAGAAACAACCCACAGTGTCTAGATCCTCGGCAGAAGCGGAATATAGAGCCATGGTTATAGCTGCTAGTGAAGTGATCTGGTTGCGAAGGTTATTAAGCGAGTTGTTAATGCCGCAGTTGGGAGCTACTAGTCTTTTCAGTGACAACAATGCGGCATTACACATTGCAAACAATCCTGTCTTTCATGAAATGACTAAACATATTGAAGTAAATTGTCACTTTGTATGTGAGAAGCTGCTTTCTAGCGAAATCTTACCACGTTATCTTCCATCACATTTACAGTTAGCAGATTTATTTACTAAAGGTATTGGCAAGCGCCAATTTCAATTTCTTCTTTACAAGTTGAGCATTTCGGATCCTCATACTCCAACTTGAGGGGGAGTAATAGGAAAGTGTTTCAATAGGAAGGTGTCCTAATAAGAAGAAGGATTTGTATCTTTCGCCCAGCAAAATTAGGAGTCCTAAATTAGGTAGGTGATCATTATTAAGACTTACTATTTTTTTAGCTTGTAACTTGTATATATGCTGTAGCCAACCTACATTTGGGTTGCAAGTCTCTTATGAGAATATTTTTCTCCACCGTAACTCTTCTCTTCCACCTCTGAATTCCCTGAATCGGTTATCATCTCTTTCATGGGTTTTGTCAATATCCGGGAGCGGTAAGCCTCATTGGCCTGTTATCTTCGGGGCACGTTGCACAGGTGTTGACAATGATCCTCGTCATCCAGTCTCTCCAGACGGTTTCAAAATTGATAGGTGTGCTACCCCGATAAAGACAGCTTGCCATGTAGATCGGTTGACTACATTAGTCAGTTTGGGCCGACCTAACTCTGTCTAGCATGTCCCCATGTGGCGCTGAGGTGTTAGTGAATGGTTCGGATTAGCCCTGTATCCTGTGGTAATTGATTGGCCAAATCACCTCTCATCTCTCATCAGGTAACATAGAGAAGAAGACTGTGGAATCGCCACTTATATTAATTGAATTGGACTTTATTCTATTATGACATGACATCCATTAGCATTACAAATTTAGCACACAAGAAGTTCAATGTGTAACCAATGAATGCTTGTGACAGATACAAATAAAGCAAATGGGAAGCTGAGTGCAAAATAACCTGTGTGTCTAGTGTTGCATAATAGTCCAAATGGATTCCAGATAAGGGTAAGCTTTCTAAGACTTGGAATGAAATGAGGTGTAATACAGTGACACAATGGAAACAGAAGTGCAGCTTCTCTTTGTTAGTGAATACACGTACGTACCGGCGTTTCATCTACCAGAAAGCTGCACAAAACAACACCTTCACCTTTCATGATCAGTTCTATGGTTCTACTTTCTAATAGCAAAAGCAATGATCCTCCTTCAATGAAATGGACCAGTCCATTAGCGCACACGTTTATATGAAATGGGGCCTATTACTGTGACAGAAGAGAAGAGGATGGAATAAGAATGGAAATCCTTGATGGTTGTTACAACTTTGGCTTTGGGGAATAAGGGTATTTTACAGAATGCGAGGTTTATGTGGATATGGTAAGTAAAAGAAAATTAGATGACACATAAAGGGTATTTATGTCTTTTTATATATCACCTAACATTGGCAAGTAAGCATGTTTGGACCAAAAAGTGATACCATGCTCAAACTAAAATACAGAATATCATTTTGTTATTTTGTTATATCACTAAAAGACAAAATAATAAAATAAATGGTTCAGTTCTCTCGCTTCAGTCGTTATCAAATGGCCCAGATTCCCAACATCACAATTTCACAGAGAAAAAGTGTGTCGTTTTATTTGCACGTCCTACGCTCTATTCTTCAGATCAAGGCCATTCTAGATATTAAGATGAAATATAAGGTTAATAATATATCTCCCTTGTTATTCAGTTTCCGCTTTCCAAACAATCAGGGGCCCCAACTCCCAGGTATCCAGGTTTCCAACAAGAAAAACAGCTGGCAGGCAGGTATTTTGGAAATTACAGAGAACCCAGAAGGGCAAAGATGAAAGGCGCCGTCCTCCAATCCAAATAACTATATAAAGCACCATCTCTCCCTCCAACTTCGATTTCATTTTCACATCACTCTCTCTTCTTTTCTCTTTGCCTCTGCAAGCCATGAAAGAACCTCCACTTTCCCGTCGTAAAGAACCGCCTTCTGTGCAGAAAATCAAGATTTTGTGCAGCTTTAATGGTGCTTTTGAACCCAGACCTCCTTCTGGAAAGCTCCGGTACATTGGCGGAGAGACTCGTATCGTTTCCATTGATCGAAGTATCGGGCTCTCGCGATTTCGGTCCAAGATAAGGGAGCTCTGTCCTAATATCCCTTCGTTTTCTCTGAAATACCAGCTTCATGAACCTGAGGGCCCCGATGGTGATGCACCTCTTGTGTTGATTGCTACGGACGACGATTTCCTGAACATGTTCGATGAGTACGACAAGATGGAGTCAGATGGGAAGCTTGCGAGGCTCTGGGTCTTTGTTTGCATTGATAACGGGTACGTGGGATTGAAAAATGGTTCTTCTTTTAGTTTTTCTTGTGCCGAATCTGGTAATATGAATGTGAGGAGTGGAATTCCACAGGGAGAAACTCTATTTCATGATAAAAGAGAGAAAACCCGCTTGAACATCAGTGGTGGTTTGGGTGGCCATCAGACCCATGTGGCCACTGTTTTTAGCTCCGACCATATAGCCTTTTTAAACCCTCATGAACCCAGGATTTCAGTGAACGTCACTTCCGGAACTTGGAATGATGACGATTCACTTAGGAAAAGGTTGTTGGAACAACGAGTTTTGACAACCCATGAAACTCAATTTCAAAACTCCTTTCAATTTTTGCATTCAGAACCCTTGGGAACTGAAGTCCTATATAACTGCCCTACTGGAACAGAAAGAGTTAATAAATCACTTAAGGAAGTAACCCGTGAAGCATATGTTCCAACACATTGCACAGCTACAGTTAATAGTTTTGGTGATTCGTGCAGCATCAATATTCCAGTGGCCCATATGTCAAGTCAAGGTTTTGGCACTTCAATTCCATTGGCAGAATCCCGCTTGCAGCCCTTTGATGTGAGTGGTGGAGATATAGGATTAAAGGCAAGCATTTCTATGCAACTTATGCCAAGAGGTTATGGTGGAGTTTTAATTGATGGATGCGGGGATAATGTTGGAAGATCTTATCAATCAGTTGCAACAGTACAGTTGCTTAACCAGTCACATATTCCTAATGTAATATCAACACCAACTACCTCCAATGTTAAACAGGGTTCTAAAAATGGTGGGCATGTTTCTATGGGAAATTTTAATCGGGAAAATGTTATGCCATTGACAGGGGATACTCATTTACCTTCAGTTTCCTGCAGCAATCCATTGGTTGGGAAAGTCTCACCTTTGAAGTCTTCTATTTCAGGCAACAGGAATTTGGACTGTCATCAGTTAGGAATTCGAAACCATCGATTTGGTATTGTTGATATCAGAAATCATCGGATTAGTGCGTTTTCCATGCAGAACCATCAGAACTACCCTCCTGTAATGGTTAACCATCATGTCACTGCACTTGATGGGAAGTCTTGTCCAGGGAAGTGCTATGCTGGGCTCAGGCCAAGCCCAAACATTTCAAAACATGGGCAGGGTGCGAGATCACACTATGCTCAAATTTGGAAGCCTTGGCCTGCTTCCCATGATCATACATGGGAAGGAATGACATGGATGCTAGAGTCTAGCAAGAACACCCATTCTTCCTTCAATCTAAGAAATGGTAGGGGAATTTTGAGAGAGCGCATTGCTCAACCTATTGGTGGGAGATACCCTGCTGGTGTTCTAGCTATGAAATCTAGAAATCCAATTCCTCATGTAGGTTTTCACGGTCTATCCCATGGCACATTCTACCAACCTCTTTGTTCTGATAGGGTTATTGAAGACCCCGTACTCTGCTTCAGGCCGATGACTACTTCACGAGATCTTTCAAGCAATTTACTTCATGCAAAGTTTGAAGTTCCTTCTCAAGCTGTATGCAACAATTTCCATGGCATGTCTGGGAGCACCTATCACTCAGTAGATAGTAAACCTGGATATTATGAGTTTAACAGGAAGCCATTCTTCATGGCCCCACAGAAGGATGTTGAGATGCCAGAATATTCCACTGATGCAGGTCATGTCAATAGTTCAGAACTTGGATGTAGCAGTGAACTTCCTTCATTTAAGCTCGAAGTCCAAGTAGGTCCACAGTCAAGTGTTAAAGCATTAACCAATGATTGTGATGGTTTCAAAACTTTATCCGGTGATATTGCAACTTCAGTGGATATTTCATTATGTAAACTTTCACTTTCTCCATCCAAAGAAGCAGAGCCCCCTGCACTTCCATCTTCTCCTGTTAGAGATGATCTTTCAGAACCCCTGGCAAGACATGAGATGGAGCCTCAAATAAATCTTTTGGATTTCATGGGTGAAGAAAAGTTGAGTTCAAGCTCATTTATTGAAGAATCAAGTGGAGTTGCATTTAATTCTTTCGTTAGTGGAGGAAATGTTTCCAAATCCTTGCCAAGACATGAAATGGATGCTCAGATAAATTCATTTGATATCATTGACGTTGGAAAATTGAACCCAGGTCCACTCACTGAAAAATTGGAGAGAATTGCATCTAATTCAGAACAATTGGGAAACCACATTTCTCAAAGAGGAAAGAACCAACAAGAAAATGCAACCAGCTTAAGCATAGCTCAGAAGGTATTTGTTTATTGGTAAATAAATAAATAATAATAGTTGACTTCTCTTGGTTTCAATTGACCAAATATCTTGTTTTGGCAGGTTGAAATTAAGGGATCAATTAAATGTTCTAATGCCATTGGTGGAGTGTATAGTGACCTGGCTATGTTCTATACTCATTTAGCTACCAAGGAGTTGCAGGTAGTTTATCATAGATAGTTTGCTTTTATACCAAAGAAAAAAGATAGTTTGGTTTAGGAAGGTCTTGTTGTTATTGCTGTTGCATGATTGGATTTTTTTTCATACTATATGCAGACAATTAAAAATTCTGACCTTGAAGATATAAGAGAACTTGGTTCTGGCACATATGGAACGGTTTTCTATGGAAAATGGAAGGGTTCTGATGTTGCCATCAAGCGGATAAAGCCAAGTTGCTTTGTTGGCAGTGAGAAGGATAGACTGGTGACTTTTTCTTTCTCCCTATTTTTTGAACCTTTATATTTTACCTTGCATGATTGTCAAACTCTACCAAATAATTTATTCAAGTTTCAAGTCAAACAATGAGTTCTTGAAATACAATATGTCCTAAATTTCCATTTCTCTTCATATTGTGCATTATTGTGAAGGAAAGGTTAATAGTTTACCATGTTGCAACTAGCTGAAAATGACTACCCCCAGCTGTAACCCCTGCTTCTCTATTGTCACATAGCAGCTTAGGCTGGCAAGCCTGAAGAGCACCAAATGTTCTACCATCCATTCTCTTCACTTGAGAAGTTTCAGCCTAATAACCATTGCCATGTTGGGAGAAGAAAAGGATGATTGTTCCATGGGGGATAAGAATGAATATTGTTTTTTGCCCAAAAAAGAGAAAGAAAAGAAAATGATATTGCTACATGGCTGATGTTTATTTGGCTGGAAAATGAAAAAAAAAAAAATCTATAGAGAGAGAATGCAATGGAAAACAGGTAAACCCTGTTTGGTGGACATGTCTTCTGCCATGCAAGGTTTTTAAATTGTGGTTCTATATTGAAAACCTAAATTTCTATCAAAATATTGGCAATCTAATGAATTTTTCTAGAAAAGTTTTTAGTACCTTCAATGATATTTCATCTCTTAAATTTTTTTTTCAATTTCAGTTATATTCTGTTTTTGCCATTATTATTGTCTAACACTATTTTGGCAAGGTATCTAAATTTTGTGTGTTCACAGTGATTAGATAGTATGTATTTTTTAGATATCTTCTGAAGGGCTACACAATGGGGGGTAGCCCATCCCCCAACTCATAGCCCCTCCAACCCAGGTGCACGTGGGATTCGATCCCAAGTCTCTGCTACGACCAGCAGGAGACCTTACCAACCAGCTGGTTGGCACCTTGCCTGATTAGATAGTATGTTATTATGTGTAGTTCATTCTGCCTTCCTCAAAACTGGAAAACATCTAAACTTCAAAAATATGATTGAATTTTAATCCTTGCTTCCATGTGGCAAATACCTCTCCTTGGAGACTAGATCTTCTGTGCTGTCCCTGCAGATTTATACATCTAATCTATTGAATTATTTATTGTCCCGATTCTCTATTCCTTGCAGATTGCAGACTTCTGGAAGGAAGCTCACATGCTAAGTCAGCTTCACCATCCAAATGTGCTAGCATTTTATGGTGTAGTTACAGATGGGCAAATGATAAATCTAGCAACAGTTACGGAGTACATGGTGAATGGTTCCCTTAAACAAGTCCTACGAAGGAAAGATAGGTGTGGTATCTCATATTTTATTGGTTGTACAACCATTGTCCTATCCAATGGAATTTGTTTACTTAAACCTCTTTGCTTCCTATTCTGCATGTTTGATCATTTGAATTTACTGCATAGGTCCTTCTAGAAATAGTTTTATATTGTGTATGATCACGGATGGAGGCATTATCACCTCTTTAACCCCTTCTAATATAGACTTTATATACCCATGTTATGCTGTATTACACAATGTCCCCAAAATAGTTCTGATCTGTTGACCCCTTCCTTAGTCAATTTATCAGCCAAAGCATTGGTTGACCTGTTTACCCATTTGATGACTACAATAAAGTCCCCTTCCCAATTCTTGTATTTTCCTCATTAAGTCTTTCATTAATAGTGACAAAAAAAGATACAAAGGTTAGAGCTCATGTGCACCAAGGCACCCGTACACTGGGGACACAAAACACATAAGTTCCATTAGGAATCAATTTATAAACAAGTTGTCAAAAACACAATTGTAAGATATTCTTTTGAAATATTTGCGAACTGACAATCAAGAAAAAAGAGTGCTCACTGCCTGTTTCACAATTAATTCTTCCGAGAAAGTCTTGTTTTCAAAAATATGGGCTCCCCCCCCCCGCAATATTGTCCACGATATAACTGATGGTATGCTTAGCCTGAGATCACCAGAGATCACTGTTCCTCTCTTTCTTAGACTTGTCATATTCCAACTGTGAAAGAGGATTCTAGTGCCTATGGGAAACAACTTTTCAATCAAGAATGCTTATAAATATCACCCGTAGTAAGTGTGCCACATTACAATGAATGAGTAGGTGTTTGGTGACTTCTTGGCTGCTGAACACGTGACACATTCTGCAGAGAATCAAGCTCCATATCTCTCCTGTGTAGGCTGTGAGTTAATTATCTTCTCAGAACGTCTGTTTGACCCAAAAATGCCACCATTAAGGGAATGATGGGTACCCAGATTTTTATGCTAGGGAAGCTACTGCAGGCTGAAGAATTTAGTCTCTTGAAGAAGGTTTACACATGAAAGAGTTTGATCCATCCCATATCCAAACCCTTCTGTCACTCATATTTAAGCAATACCTCTCTTTATGGATCTTTGGATCTTCATTAGCGTTGTTAGGGGTGTTTTTATATATGTTCTTGGTGCTAGGGGGTTTTCTGTAATTATTATTATTTCAAGGGACTACTCTGCAATTATTATTGTTAATATATTATGGTGAAGTGGGTGCTGCCACTAACCCAGTTCGACTTCTATTTCTTTCTTCTCTTCTTCTCCCTTCCTCTCTTCTCTCTTGATTATTCCATGACTGATTACATAGTATCAGAGCAATAACCTGTCATAGAATAATCAAGCTTTTTTCTTCTTTTCAGTTTGTATTCTGCACTCATTTTTTCAAATAAATCAAGTGGACACACAGGCAGCCCCTTGATCTGATCGGCACATTCAAGACTACTCTCTTTTTTGTTTCTTGGTCGTAGGACCAAGTCGTTTCTCTGTTTCTGGGTTGATGCTCATGTAGAAGCATGTAAGAGGGCTACAGAAGGTACAACATGTGTGGTTGGGTGACCCGTTGAAAGAACAATTTCCCTCCATTTTTAGACTTTCTATTTTTAGGCCCAATTTACAACATGTGTTCATACTGCACATATTTGTATTTGCATTCTTTCCAAATTGAGCCTTAAGGCTGAACCTGTGTCTTCCTTTTTGTTACCTTCTAGCTCAGTTTTAGGCTTTGCTTGGAACTTGAGGTTTAGAAGGAGTCTTAGGGAGGCTGAATTGAGTAGTGTTTCAGTTTTACTTCACTATTTGGATGGGGTATTCTTGAACCCTTCAGAGTCGGATTGTAGGATTCGGTGTGTTGATTCTTTTTTTTATATGTTTTGAAGGGCTACACAACAGGGGGTAGCCCATCCCCCAACCTAGGTGCAGGCGGGATTCGATCCCAAGTCTCTGCTATGACCAATAGGAGACCTTACCAACCGGCTGGTTGGAATCTTGCATTTGATCTATTGATTCTTCCGGTTTCTTTTCTTGTGCTTCCTTCTTTTCGACTTTGACCCAACCTTTTGATAATTCAGTGGTGACCTTTCTGGTGAAGGAGGTCTGGGATAAGCCAATTCCTCCTAGGATAAGTGGTTTATGTTGGGAAGTTTTCTTGGGTAGAATTAATACTTGTGATCTTCTTCAAAGAAAGAGACAAAAGTGGTGCCTTTCCCCAAATTGGTGCATCCTTTGCAAGGCTAATGGTGAGACTAGTTACCACTTATTAATTTCCTGCCCTTTTGCTCTTTATATTTGGGTGGGAATGGTTTCTCTCTTTGTTTGGGTGCAGGTGGAACACCCCCCCTGCCAAATGTTCAAGGGATGAGATTGGCGAAACAATGGGGAATGCAACAATTAGAAGTGGAAGGATACTCCAAGCTGGTAATAAGGTGGATGCAATCTGGAAGCTTGGGAGTTTGGTCACTTAGACAGCCTCTAAGAGAGATTATTAGCTTAGCTCTGAGAACCCCCTACTTGCTAATGTTGTTCATTCATTCATTCATTGCAATAAAATATTTTCTTAAAAGGCAATGAAAATTATAAAATCATTATTTTTTATGTAAGAAATAAGAATTTCAGACCCTAACATAGATTGTTCGGGCTTGCCTCAAGGGGCGTGGTACAAAGGCGACTCATAGAATCAAGAATGCAATATGTTTTACATTACATTAGCTACTTGAAGCAATGCAATTAAGGAAAAAAGAGATTATGGTTTTTACATGCTTGAAAATGCTTTATATGTTTGCTTTTATTTTTAAATTTTCATTTGAATACGCTTTACATGTTATGTTTATGTATTTTAATTTTAGATAATAGGTTTTTTAAAACATTTATTTTAAAATTTAAGTTTATATTTTTTATTAACATTCTGTTTAATATTTTTTGCATTTTTTTGAATTTTCTAACTTTTTTATTCTAAGATTTTTTTTTTGTAATTTTGTGCCTTGCTTAAAATGGCACACGCCTCACCTTGCGCATTGCGCCTCATGCGCAAATTGGCCCTCGCGCTTTTAAAACACTGGGAAGAAGCTAGAGTCAAAAGGGTTGAGCACACCCAAGGGGGGATTCCACCTCAACCAAAAAAAGAGAAGAGAACCAATCCCACAAATAAGAAGCAAAAGGATAAGAAATCAAAAGATGAGTCGGCGTCTCACCATTTCTTAAGCAAAGGCAACAAACATGTGGGGAATACCACACTTACTTAGTAGGAAAAGAGGCAAGCATAACAAAAGGCTAAGCTAAGGCATTGAAAAGAGAGGAACAAGAGAAAGTCCTTGAAGAAGAATCTTTCCAAATTCTATTGTTAGGGTAGGAAAGATCTAGGAAAACTGAACTCAACACAATGAACAACTCATCTACATAAGCCAATTCTGAATCCTTCAACCCTCTTCTCAAACCCAAATCCTAGGTCCCCTAAGAGACATGGAGTGAGGAGATGGTTTTGTATTTATTTAGGGAAAGAGAATACATTACCGGGAATCTATCTTTAAGGGGGGTGTTCCCAGACCAAAGATCCTCCCAAAACAGAATTTTATTACCTAAGCACACATCAAATCTGATGAAAGGCCAAAAGGTAGGCAAGATTCCAGCAATGGCTTTCCAAGGGGAGAAATGAAAAGCCCTAGGGTCAACGCCAGCATCCCATCCATTAGTTGCCATCCCGTGAATACTTTCCACCACCAAGTGCCACAAGCTGTCTTGCTCCAAAGGAAATCTCCACAACCACTTTCCTAACAAAGCTACATTTCTTAATCTGATATTGCCAATGCCTAGACCCCCGACTTCCTTTTTCTTAGAAACTACTTCCCACTTCACTAAATGGTCCTTTTTTGAGTCACCCAGTTCCCACAAAAAATCTCTCATGAGCTTCTCTAACTTATTGGCAACCTTGTCAGGAAGCTTAAAGGTGGACAAAAATACATTGGAAGGTTGGTCATAGTGGACTTGATTAAAGTGCTTATACCCCCTAGTGAGATATAATTTCTCTTCCAACTTGCTAGCTTCTTAGTGAGTCTTTCCAAAACTGGGTACCAAAAGCTTTCTTATTACAATTGACTTTTAGATTGGAGACTCTGTTAAGAACTCTCCAAATTCTTCATCTCCCAACGGAAGTATATCCTTGATCTGTTGAAGGACACTGGAAAGCTAGGGTGTAGACCAGCAACTTCTCCCATGGATCCAAATCATAAACTTGGAAGTTGTGAGGAGGAGATAGTTTTCAGACGTTCATCAATATCAAAGACTCGTTGGAAGGCTGCTATATCTCCATGACAAGACCAGATATTGCCTTTGCTGTAAGTGTTCTAAGTTAGTATATGCACTCACCCAAACCTACTCATTTCAAGGCTGCTGAGAGAGTTGTGGCCTTTCTAAAAGGTACCCAAGTAGGGGTCTCCTCTTTACTAGGCATAATCATATGAGGGTGGAATGATACACAAATGCCAACTGATCTGGCCCTATTGATGATAGGAGATCTACTACTGGTTACTGAACTTTTGTACGAGAAAATCTTGCCACTTGGAGAAGAAACAGTTTGTAGTGGCAAAGTCAAGGGCAAGAGCTGAGTATAGACTATAGAGCTGTCTCAAGGTGTTGCTGAATTTTTGTGGTTAAAAAATCTCCTTACCGAGCTGGGTATGTGGAAGTCAGATGCTATGTTATTGTACTGTGATAACAAGGCTGCTATCAGTATTGCTCATAACCCAGTTCTCCATGAACGGACCAAGCACATTGAAATTGGCGAACATTTCATTCGGGAAAAAGTGGAAAGGGATGAAATTTGTATACTGTTTGTTGAATCAAGATATCAAGTGGCTAATATATTTACAAAAGGATTGAATTTCATGTGCCATGAAGAGTTATGTATCAAGTTGGGTATGCATGATATCTACAACCCAACTTGAGGGGCAGTGTTGTCATGGGTGTTTTTATTTATTAAGGTGAAGTGGGTGCTGCCACTAACCCAGTTCGACTTCTTCTATTAGCATTGCTTACATTTCTTTAATATCCTTATCATTTAAATTTCTTTAATCCTAGGATTCCATACCACCTGTTCATTCAGAATTTCAATGCGGTCAGCTACCATAGCATTCCTATTACTTGCTACTGTAAATACTGCTGGGAACAGATCCATAAGGTGGTGGTTTTCACACCATGGATCCCTCCAAAATCTCATCGTCAAGCCATTACCAACCTTATATTCAAGTATTTAACACCTTTTATAAAGTGTGAATAGCTCCTCTACGGGACGGGATGAGCTGCCCACAGAACGTGCCCCACAGCCCATCCCATCCATGCATTGGGAGTATCTCCACATGACAAACATGGGAGATGTTCCCAGTGCACGGAGGGGATGGGCTGTGGGGTGCCTGTGGGGCGCGCTCTGTGGGCAGCCGATCCGATCACCTTATCTACTCCTTTCCATGTTGCACATCCATATACCTCTAGCTTCCCCTGGTTCCCAATCAAGATTATTTCTTCTGTATTTGGTTGCTATCAGATATAGTAAACTATATTGTAGTTTTGGCTTCCTACTTTTTATGTTGTTTTCTTCCCTAAAGATCTATTCAAAATAGTTGTGTGTCATATTGCTCAGAATCAAATAGAGGTAAAATTTTCAGTATTTGATACATAGAGCCTTTTGGCTCCAAAAGACAAAAAAGAGTTTATGAATTCAGCAAGATGTGTCATCCAATGGATTTGTTTAAAGAAAACTTTACACAATGGAATATGTGTTCAAGGAGGAGATAAGATTGCAGGTGAAGCTCATAAAGGCCACTAGTCAGGAAAAGAGAAAAGAACTCCACTAGTCTTCCACCCATCTGTGGAGCATACACAAATAAATCTCACTGTCCGAAGAACTTGTTCAACATATTGTCCTTTTCCCTCAAAGCAATTCATTTTTGCTTAAGTGGATTGTGACACACTATGATGAAATGAAGGCCAATTACCAACTGCAAGGAGTCATGAATTGTATGTAACCCTGAAAGAAGAAACTTTAACTAAGGAATATAGAAACATCCTCATGAATCTCTGGAAAAAGGTGGGAGAGTATTTTCTTAATTAAAGAGATTGATATAAGACACGACAGATTCTTATAAAAAATACATATATAAGAAACATCAGATAATGGGTGTGAGGTGGGGGAACTGCACAAGGACTGCAAAATGGACAAAAACGTTTTAGGTTGTGATGACAAAAATCATGAATGCCATCATATTGGCTTGAAGTGGGTGTGTACTTGAAGATCAAGAAATAAGAAATGACTGGAAATGGAAAAAGTTGGATAACCAGATTTAGGGAGTAGTTTCTTCTGGTTGTAATGAGATCATACAAGACAAGTATACAATTTACAGGGAAGGTAGTCATCAAAAGGAAACAGGAAGGACAAAGAGAAAGGAAAGAAATGCAGGGAAGATACACACTTGGCTAACCAGCATAATTGTTGGTAACTGAAGAGCTGAGCATATGGTATGTTGAGAAGATGGATAAAGAGGAACATATCAGCACCATTTGCAGTAATCAAATGTTCATCATGATATATATCCATACTATATAAAGGGGATACACGCCTTGGGTTCCATGCACAGGTCATAAAAGTTAAATCCAAATAACATATATCATATATATGGTTAATACATACTTGCACACATGCATAGAACATGCTCTTACACTAGTATATATAAACAGAATGGAATGACAAAACAGGATTCATGTGGCCAAGCCCATATAAGGTGCACCTTTGTTTCAATTTCAAGGAACTCTTACAATAATGAGGGCATGAGCAATTCATGATAGGTTCTTCAATGAGAACCATGCAAAGGTTTTTATCTAAATCTGACCCTCATAACTGGGTTTCTTCCTCTCAATTGTTTTCCCTTAAAACCTTTCAAGAGGCAAGAAGCCATAGTAGGATTCCTAGTCAGAATCATGCGACATGCCAAATTTTTCTGAAATTGCTATTCATAACTATGTTTAGTATTCTGAATCTTTTTCATACTAAGATATTCAATGCAGTATTTTGTGTAATGCAAAAATTCTGGCTTTCTCTTTCACAAGTCATAGTACATCTCATGTATAGACCATACTAGCACAGTTTTGTATAACATGCATTATAGGTCCTACAATTGGTGCATACTTGCAATTGTCATTTTCTTTGTCTAAATTTTTCATACTTCCCATGTACAGAACTATTGATCGTAAAAAGAGGCTAATCATAGCAATGGATGCAGCCTTTGGTGTGGAATACCTCCATGAGAAAAACATTGTCCATTTTGATTTGAAGTCCCATAACTTCCTAGTGAATATGCGGGATCCTCAGCGACCAGTGTGCAAGGTAATCAATGAAGAAGATATATGGATCCATTTATCATAAAAGAGAAAAAAAGAAAAATAAAGAAAGAAGGTTCATGGGTCCACGGTTTGTCTTGGCATTTCTTATACATTTGGCTTTTCTTCTTATAGTTGTTCTGGTGCATGGATATTAATTTCTATGCCTCCAGTGATTAAAGCTTCATTATTTAAGCGGCAAATATTTCAGATCTTTCAATTTCTACTTCAGATTGGGGATCTGGGCTTGTCAAAAATTAAACAGAAGACACTAGTTTCTGGTGGGGTGCGTGGAACTATACCATGGATGGCCCCAGAGCTCTTAAGAAATAAAGAAAACATGGTAACAGAAAAGGTAATGTGAGTACATCAGGGAATTACTTAAAGCATTATGTCAGATTTTTCTTATCACCAGCTTCATTACCATCTTTATAACTACCCTTTTAATGTACTTATCTGTAGGTTGATGTGTACTCATTTGGGATAGTCATGTGGGAACTTCTAACTGGGGATGAACCTTATGCAGACCTGCGCTCAGAAGGAATAATTGGTAAAATTCAATTTGACATTTTCTGATGCTTATTAGGCAAAGTAATACCTTTGGCTATTTTTACAACTTAATGTGGTAAATAAGTTAATTGAATGTGTTAATTGTCATGAGGCGTACTTTTGATGAAAACTAAGAAGCCAATTTTAACAATGTAATTTCCTTACTGAACAGAGTTCCAATAATTATGCATATATTTTTACTGTTTCTGCCATTTCCTATTTATTGCACCTTACCGAAAGAAAAAGATTTTTTTTATTGCTTGATGTTTGATCATTTTGGCTTCTTTATCACTATGTACAAGTTACACAAAAAAAATTACAATGCTACAATAGTTGTCTCAGAAACCATATGATTTGTACTTGCATCATAATATATTAGTATACGTTATAAAACAGTGCAATTACAGATATCTTCATTCATTTCATACTATGAACCACAAATTGCATGCTGAAAAAATCCATATCACTGATATATAATCACAATATTCAGAGTGGAGAAATTTGAGTAATACACTTGCAGTGTATACCTGCCTGAAAGAACCTTACATCTTGGGTTTATATGGAAAGGAGAACATAGCTATCTATTAAGTGTCAGGAGATGTTATTTGCCATAAATCCTGACAACTTGGTGATATTTAGATACTTCAAGTAGAATGGAACAAACCATTGATGTTTTCCTATACCGCAATAAAGTCACGTTATCCATGATGCCAAGGATACATGTGCATGGTTGCCATGTTGTGGCAGACAACAATCTTTAGGGTCAATGCTGTTAGTAGTGCAACTTGGGTGGGTTGGGGTGGGCTTAGGGCCAACCCAGGCCCACCCTAAATGTGAATCCAAGGGCATGAGCCTGGCCCAAGCTCAAGACTGACCTTGCAGGCCCAGCCCGACCCAACCTTAACCTAAACACTTTTGGGCCTATGTCAGGCCAGGCTTGGGTTGGGCCTGCATATACAATATATTCTGTGATATAAGAAATGAATTAAATTTGGCTTAACTTGTTGGAGGATTGCTTACTATAGATGAGATTTAATGTTCAAATCCTTTTAAATGAGTAGTTTGGCATTATATATTGTAATTTACATCACACTTTTAGCATGTATAAATTCAATGAAATCAACCTAAAAATAAACTTGGACCTACATTGGGCCAGGCTTTGGTTGGGCTCAGGCAACTCAATGGCTCAATCCAAGGCCAGGTCAAAGACACAATTTGAACTCAAGCCTGGGAAAAGTTCAAGTTAGGTTGGGCAATGCTCAGGTTAGGCCTGCCCAAGTTGCAGCCGTTAATGCTGTGTCTAGCATGTTGTCCAGCTGTTTCCTTGCCATTTGGGTTATAGTGCACTATCTACTTGTAATAAATAGGAGCTTGTGCACTAAGGCTCCACCTCTTGAATATATTTTATCGGATGTCTCCTTGCAGATTTCACAGAAAAAAATAATTTTTGATAATAGAAAGTGATGGTTCTTTTTTTTTTTCCATTTCCGTCTATCAAGTTCAGTTCATCTCATCTCAGCTTAGTCTTATTCCTGAGCTGAAATCGCACTCTGTCGACTGCAATTCAGATGTATCTGGGAAACAGATAAAGTTGATCAACAGAAAATGGATGCTTATTCCTCTCTTGCTAAGTAAAATTGCATTGCTCAAAAGAGGGATGGATTCCCTCAATAGAATGTCTATAGTATTGTTAAAAGTGTGGAACTTTTGTTTCACTAAAATACCCCAATTTTTGGATTTGGTCCCTCTACAAGGACGGAAGTGTAATTTGAACAACCACTTTTCTCCTCGTCTTATATTTATGGTATTAATTCCCATTCTTTCATTGAATCCTATATTAATCAACCATATTAACGAAAAACCAAGGAATAATTGTTATCATTGATAGTAGAAATAAAATACAATTTTAAAACCAACCCAAAAAGTGGAGTTGTTTTCTAGGTGGCAAGTCAACAATTCAATCTTTTGGGTCAAATGTATCAACCCTTGATATCGTAATTAAATAATAATAAAAATTTAAAAACATGAAAACACACAAAAGTATATAAAAATATAAAAAATTGTAGAAAACATTTGGGCACATCTCTAATATTGTATATCCATCATATTATACAAAAATAAGTGTGACAAATAAAAGTAATCTTTATAGACAGAAGTACAAAAAATTAAATTGTAGAAAACTTTGGAAGCATATTATTTACTATCATCATCATCATTATCAAAATTGTCACGTGCACACTTACTAGTGATTATAAAAAGATATAAGCTCCAGACACAATGGGGGAAAAACAGAGATATCATCATTATCATCTAAGCCTTGTCCCAAGTCCCAACTTTATGGGGCCAGTTTCATGAATCCTGTTTCACCATTTCATTCTGTTCAGTGCCATATTCATTGTTAAATTATGGGCGCATAAATCATTTCTTAATACTTCCATCCAAGTCCTTTTCAGTCTGGTCCTAGCTGGCTAGCTCTTACAGCCCCTTAAACCTTCTAAGAGATCACTTCTTCTAACAGGTGCAAAACAGGGATGTTTAAGGATACATACTTCTTATCAGTTCATGCCTGTTCATTGGAATCAAAAAGGATTTTCTCCCACTGGTTAGTAAACTGGGAAGGATTGAGGTCTTTAAAACCTTTAAGAATGCTTTCCCATCACATCAGACACTCTTCAACCTTCCATCTTCTGTCAAAAATTCCTTTATTACACTCCAACCAAATGGACCAACAAAGGGATCCTGGGGCAAGTTTCCAAAATGGACACTTATTCTTTTTACCTAGGGCCCATTTGGCACGTCTTTCCATGTGGTCTTTTGGCTGTTTACAAGCTGGGCAGACCAATTTTTTGTCTATTTCCCGTTTGGCTCGCGGAAGATCTAGCTGCCAAAAGCTGGAGAACCAAAAAGACGCGAGAAGCCCATTTTGGGCTGATTTTGGGAAGCTCCAAATGAAGATTTTTGTGTCTTTCGCATTTTATTCTCATGCAGAAAGGCGCACGGAAAGACATACGTCTGCCAAACTAGCTTCGGGCTGCTCAGATCTTCATGCAAAAGCTCAATGCGTCTTTTGACTATCAGAGCTACCAGAAGATCTTCCCAAAAAGACTTGCCAGACGGGCCCCTAGTTTGCCTGGTAACTGTGATGAAAATTTATTAAGTTGAAGTTATGGAAAACAAAGTATACAAGGGGGAAGAAGAAAACAAAACTAAACAGATTATTCTGGMAATACTGCTTTACTAATGAAAAGCCAAGGAAACTGCTTCATTATGTTTTCCACCCCAACAAAAGTATCTACTTGGTATCCCTCCAAACCATTTTGGCAAAGAGTTGACTGACTTCAGTGTGGTCTGATCAGATCTCAACCAAGATAAATTAGTACAGAGTTGTCAACAACCTTGATTTGGTATAGTCTAATCTTGCCAAGTGAATGAGCTTTGTTGCACTGCCACCATACAAGAAAGAAAGCAACAACCTGGGTATATCTATCCCAGCTAAGCACTTATCCATCCTGTATTAGATTCTATTTCTTCTTATATTATATTTTGTTATTCAATTTCACCATACTTTTCAATCTGTTTCTTGCTTATCAAATATTGATATTACCAGAGTTGAAGTTCTTTGGCTTTATCTGCCAAGTCAGGTTCAGTAAACTATGCTACAGTAGTTTCTATTAGTGTGTCATTACATGGTTGATGCCATTTTAGTCTATTCCATTTTTTTTATGTTTTCAGCTGGTATAATCAAAGGTGATCTGCGGCCTGAGGTCCCTAGCTGGTGTGACCCTGCTTGGAGATCATTAATGGAGAGGTGTTGGTCATCTGACCCTGATTCAAGACCAGCCTTCTCAGAGATTTCTAAGGAACTACGTGCCATGTCAGCAGCCATGAATATCAGGTGATTATTGAAGCAAGTCTGGCTGAAAATGGAAACCTACATCAATTGACTGTACTGAAGTGGGCTGTAGGTTGAAACGGAGATCTGATTACATGGTTAATCATATTTGATCTGTCCGGCAATGTAATTACATTTAGAATACCAGGCACAGAAGCATGCTGAGATGTGATCAATTTTGCCATCCGGTGTTCTGTGTTTGACCTGAACATATCCATTATGTTTGAAAGGGTTGGATATGGATGGATTGAAGTGTATGAAAGAGATGTCTGTTTGTGGAAAGACAGCATTTTCATGCACTGTTGTATAGAGATAGACCATGGCAGTTGTCTCTAAGTGATGGTCTTAACTGTTTTTCATATGGGTGCATGAACACGCTACACCAGGACAGCCATCATCATCTACACACTGCAGGCCTTACAAATTCTCTCAATAGAAGGGTGCTAGATACATGGTTTTTATGAACACATTAAATATTTCCAGGATTGTGGCATCCACTAATGGGATCCATGATACCAATGGTTGATGATTGACAAATATTACAGATGTACATATGCAGCCTCAATAAACATAAACATGTTACGTGGGAGATTGGACCTAGACCCATCAGGGATGTCACAATTGCCTATATATCATAACTGCAAACTAAGGGATTGTTTTTTTATTTTGAAAAAACAAAATTATACATATTGCCGAATACCCCTGAAGGATGTATTCTCCATGGTTGTTTTCCTGTTTTTCATTTGGCAGGTTCTTACTAGCAATAAACTTCTGTCACAAAATGCAGAAACCTGTTTTCCATTGCTGTCCTTGATTTTGAGTTTTGGAAATTGTCTACTGTCAGGAAACTGATTCTGGAGATTGGAAGAAGAAAGCTTCCAAAATGTGAAACCAAGTTGCCATCTCATGGAAATTTTTAGCAAGTCTACTAAAATGAGATCAACAGATATCATGGATTTGCGTTTACTATTTTGGCTTGTAATTCTCTCTTTAACTGCACTTTTCTATTAACTACTCTCCAATGTTTTAAAAACTGACCCGGAGGCCAAACTGTTTTTGCCTCTGGGTGGGTCACTGGTTCGACCGGTTCAGACCATGCCATGTCAGCATGTATATGTATATATGTGTATAAATATATATTTTAGCAATAAATAATGTATAAATATCTTTTAGATGTGTTATATGTATTATTTTATATTTAATATATGTTTTTTAATTCAGTTCTTAATTTTTTAATTTATAAAAAATATTAAAAATTGCAATTGGAGGTCAAAAAAGGTGTTTTTCGCAAAAATAGCAGGGCAAGGCGCCTATGGCCCCTTGGAACATATAGATCTCAAAAAGTTACCCAAGATCAAAAAACGAATCACCCCAATCGGACATCGGAGTCCAAAGTTATGACCTCCGAAAGTTTGCATGCATTTAGTATTTTAGTGTGCAGGAATGGAAGAGTGTAAATTCTATTTCACTTTTACCATGAGTTTTACTTTAGATTTTATTTTGCTTCATTCACACCACAAAGGAATGGCAATTTTCCCTACCTCTATTGGGTACCCAGCCTCCCCTACTTGATGGGGTCAGGGATGGAGAGTGAAGTCCCCATCCCGCCCCAACCCTGATTATATATTAAATATAATTTACATTAAATGTATATTATATATTAAATATATAATATTAGTTATATCAAAATATATTTAAACAATTATTTATATTTAAAATTTTCTTTCATTTTAAGTAAATCCATTTTTTAAAAAAACTTTTAATTAAAAAAATTTGGGAATTTAGATCTCCAATGGGTAACCCATCCTCATCAGGGATTGGGAATGGAGGGTAATTTTATTTCTAACGGGGATTAGTGTTGAGGACGAGGCTTGTTTCAAAGTCGAGGTTGGGAATGAGGGGTATGGTCCCCGCCCTATTGCCATTCCTACAAATAAATAAAACAAAGAACACTTTAAACATAAATAAATCGGAATTTGCATTTAACTCATTTGCGCTCCCCTACTTTTGCACCACTGCAAACAAACAAACTAACTAGGCCTTGGTGTTTGGGAGAGCTTTCGTATTGTGGCTTTTGGCTTTCCAATGTGGGACCCATGCAGAGAGCTTATAAACAGGGTCCAGATTTTCTATCACGAATAAGCTACCAACATGATCTTTTAACCAGAGTCACCAGACATCTCAAACTTGATTGCCGCATCAAAAGTATAAACCATTAACGAAATCATATAAGTGGGAAACCAGTTTGAAATGTGCCGCTATATATCATGTTGGAACTTGGTAGGTATTGTTGGTAGCAATCCAGGTTCCACTATGTCCAGAGATGGTGGATACCATAAAACATTGGTTAATTGACCAAACAGCGGTAATAAAACTATTCTATTTTTCTTCCCCCTTTTTTTTTATCTTTCCTTGATACATTTTCTTTCAAATTAAACAAATCCGGTGGCCTTACTAGTACATCGAGCTCATGATTGGGCTCAGGCCCATGTAAAACTTATGTTCATTTTTACCAATGCTTAATCCTTCTGAAAGACTGAAAGTTTCATCACGTGAAGCTCTTATCCTCCTAATAGTGGCCTAGTGGGTCTTATCTAAGGCTCCGTTTGCATTTGAATTGAACTGGTACAGTGAAGTTGTTCATGTTAGTGTTTTCCAACTGCCATTGACCTGAATGGTCAGATTGATCAGCCCGGAAACCATCTAGACAACTGGTTCCGTTTCACCATTAACACATTCCTAGACCAAAAGCCATTGACTTGGTCAGAGAACCGTTGACTCGGGCGGTCAAATCGTCGACCTGAACAGTGGTTCACGATTTAATAAAGTTGCAAGGAGATCAGAGAGGGGAGAAACTGAGACAAGAATGATCTCAGATATGAGATCGCTAGATCCCAGATACGACAGAGAGAGAAAAAGAAGAAGAAGAAGATTGCAGATGTTGAAGAGAAATTAGATCTCAGATCTCAAATCTGATATGTGTTTCTGTTGCTGCCACCTCGCCGTCGCTAGTGAGCATCGAATCCTTCTTCTTCTCTCCTTCATTCCTTCTTTCTTTTCTTTCCTTTCTCCCCTTCATTTCCTTTATTTTCCTTTCCCTTCTTCCTTCCTTTCTTTCATTTTCTTTCTTTCTTTCCTTCTTTTCTTCTTTCTTTATTTTTGCTCAGCCGACAACCAGCCTCTCTTTTCTCATACAAGACTAAAAGTCTAAGAATAGGTAATAATATTTTCTCTTATAATCAAATTGTCTAGACCGTTCGACCCAGATGGTCGAACCACTAACACAGAAAATTGGTGGCCACAACGGTTCCTTTTCTGGGTCGGTTTTAAAACCTTGGTTCATGTTGAGAGCCCATTTGGCATGGTTTCTGCATCAGAGGTGAGTTGCAATGCCAGAGTTGTAGTGGTTGAACACTTGCACTCTGGAAAAGTTACCTAGAGTAGCTTCATGTTATAGTCACATTTATCACATCTAAAATGCAGTGGCACATGTTTTGATTTTCACCAAACGTAGCTTCTAGCATTCTTGTGTGGGGCCCAGCTTGGAAACACCAGGAGTAGTGTGCCAAAAGCCCTTCCAAATGGGCATTGACATCCTTATTCCAAATAAGGTACTTAGGCCATGTTTGGGAGTGCTTAAGTTAAAAATAAGTGTCTATTCGAATAAGCATTTATTTGCATTTGGTGCTCAACTTTTTCAAGTACTTATTTTACTTATTTTATATTGGGCATTTGGTAGTTTTTTTCTCTAACAAGCACTTAAAATAAGCATTTGTGACTATTGTCCTTCACTTTCTTTCAAATTTTCAAAATATACCCTTTGAAAGTACTTTTATTAATTTACTTTTATAAAAACACTTTTATTAAATTACTTTTATAAAAACACTTTTATTAAATTACTTTTATAAAAACACTTTTGTGAATGTACGTTTATAAAAGCACTTGTGATTTCATAAAAGTACTTTTGTAAAAGTGTTTTCGTAAAAGTACTTTCATAAAAGTGTTTTTACAAAAGTACTTTCATAAAAGTACTTTTACGAAAACACTTTATAAAAGAACTTTTATAAAATTCAACTAAGGATAATTTTATAAGTGGTAGTTTAAAATTTAACTAGGGATAATTTTGGAAGAAAAAAATTGAATAAGTGCTTATTGTATAAGCACTTAAAAAAATTGAAAAATTGGACTTAAAAAATAAGTACTTATTTCAGACTTATTTCCCAAATACCAATAAATGCTTAATGATCCAAATAAACACTTATTTTTAAACACTCCCAAGCATAGGCTTAGAGACTTGGAAATTGGAATAGCATTTGTGCTATCTCGTTCAACCCCTATTGGTTAGTTTTCTTCTCTCCTCTTTCTTTCTTCTAAATCCCAAGCTTTCTAGGTTTTTATATTCCTTTTTCTATCTATTACATAGAGAAATAAGTCAAAATGGTGAATCCTTTGTATATTCCTTTTTCTAGGTTTTAGGTTGATCCTTGATCCGGTTGAGGATCCCACCCATCTTCATTATGTTTTGTATCAGTAGACCTATAGTTATAGAACCCAGTGGAGGTAACGCCGTTGTTGGACTTAGCTTTGTTTTGGATTTTAATTTTTTTAGAGAATAAATTTTATGGAGAAGTATGGATGCACACGATGCAGAATTCTGAATTCTAGCCTCGGCCCTACTACTAGCCCTCTCCCTCTATAAACCACATCATGCCCATGAATTTGGCATCAATTCACGGTAGGATGCATTCCCCCTGTATTTTGAGGCTATAAAATTCTGATCTGGGCTGATTGGTCATTCTCCCTAAATTTTATGAGTGCTTGATTAATTAATTGAATATATAGTTGAGTACACTTATATATAGTGTTTTAAAAACTGCCTCAAGGCGGAATCGTTTTTGCCTCTAAGTCATGGGTCATTGGTTCAATCATCCAGATCGGAAGGGTCAGACCAGGCCACATCAGCCATATAAAAATTCAAACACACACACACACATATATATATTTTTAAAACCTTACTGTTTATCCTATCATCTTAAAATATTCTCAAGTTTTTTGACAATTGTCTAAAAGCTTTGTTAACTTTTTATTACACTCAGTTTACATGTAATACACGTCACTAATATATTTTTAAAATTCCTAAAATACCCCTTTATGATTCCTCTCCATTTTTCTTCTCTAATTCCGTCTCGTCTCCGATTTTGATTCCGTCTTCGTCTCCATCTCCGATTTCGACTCTATTTTCCGAGTTTGCTAAATGACGATTCGGACTCCATTTCCGATTCCACTAAACCTTCTAGTTCTAGTCTAAGTCGGACACGAAAAGGGGATCCGAATTC